GGAAGGATCGCCGGAGCCCAGCAGGTTGAGGCTGCGGTGGCCGGGAGCGGCCACTGCACTCCAGTCTGGGCGACAGAGTGAGACTCTAACTCCAAAAAAATAAAAAATAAAATTAAATTAAATCAATCAATCAATAAATAAAAATAAATTTTTCTTTAGAGACTAGGTCTGATTTTTGCCCAGGCTGGAGCGTAGTGGTATGATCATTGCTAACTGTAGCCTTGAACAGCTGGACTCAAGTGATCCTCCCACCTCAGCCTCCTGAGTAGTTAGGACTATAGGCACATGTGCCACCATCCCTGGCTAATGTTCTCTTTTTTTTATAACATTTTTGTTATTTTTTTTTTATTGAGTTGGAGTCTCAGTCTGTCACATAGGATGGAGAGCAGTGGCATGCTCACGGCTACCCCAGCATCTACCTACTGGGTTCAGGCAATCCTTCTGCCTCAGCCTTCCAGGTAGCTGGAACTACAGGTGCATGCTACCATGCCTAGCTAATTTATCTATTGATTGGTTTTCTGATTTATTGTAGAGATGAGGACTTGCCAAGTTGCCTAGGGTGGTCTTGAACCCGCGGGCTCAGGCAATCCTCTCACCTTGGTCTCCCAAAGTGCTAGGATTATAGGCATGAGCCACCATGCCTGGTCCAATTTTTTAGATTTATTGTAAAATGAGATCTCGCCAAGTTGCCCAGGCTGTTCTCGAACCTGTGGGCTCAGGCAATCCGCTCACCTTAGCCTTCCAACGTGCTGGGATTACCGGCTTGAGCCACTGCACCTGGCCAACTTTTTTTCGAGTTGGAGTCTCATTCTGTCACCCAGACTGGAGGGCAGTAGCATGCTCCCGGCTACCGCAGCCTTGACCTGCTGGGCTTAGGCGATCCTTCCACTTCAGCCTTCCAAGTACCCGGAACTATGGTCACACATCACCATGCCTGGCTAATTGTTTTTTGATTTATTGTAGAGATGAGGTCTTGCTAAGTTGCCCAGGCTGGTCTTGAACCCATGAACTCAATCCTCTCACCTCGGCCTCCCAAAGTGCTGGGATTATAGGTGTGAGCCACCACGCCCGGCCTTATATAACTTCTTTTAAGAGTGAGGGCACCCTTATACTTTTCTGTTGCCCATTTTTAATTTAAGCTTTGAAAGGAGGTATGGTTTAGAATAACCTTTGTAACTTCCCAGATTTCTGTTACTTTAGCATAGTATTCTTTTTTTTTTTTTTGAGTTGGAGTCTCATTCTGTCGCCCAGACTGGAGTGAAGTGGCCGCTCCCGGCCACCGCAGCCTCGGCCTGCTGGGCTCTGGCAATCCTTCTGCCTCAGCCTT